TGGAGCTGTGAGGTTCCGGGGTGATGGGCAGGCCACTTGGCTCTTAGAGAAGGGCGGAGGGAGCTTGCCAGGGCTCCAAAAGCAGGCTCCTTCCTCCAAGCAGTGGGCAGCTGTTCAAGGACTGGATGCCTCAAGGAGAAAGTGCCTGGAAACTTCTGCCCCCAGCCAAGCTCCCACCCTTGGGGAGGGGTATTTGCCCAGGAGTGAGTAGGGAGCGGGCAGGGAGAAGGGAGTGGGACCCAGAGGGGAGAGGGAGTCCAGTAACTTACCTTCCTCGGCAGGGAGCTCTACCCAGGGAAAAGAAAAAAAGGACATATTCATTTGGGGTTCAGTCTAATGCCCCCACACCCTGGGATCTGTGACTAAGGTAGGAGAATCAGGCCATCAACAGGGCATCTGAGGTTCCCCAAGGTCACCCATAAAACCTCCCAAACTCCGGGTCTCAGGGCCCCTGTCTGCCAGTGTCCTCTCCCCGCCTGTAGTCATTGGACTAGGGCCCAGCTCTTCCCTAAGTCCCCTGGAGGAAGAGGCTCCCACGCGAGTGTGAGTGTGTGTGCGCGTGCGTGTGCGTGTGTGAGTGGGTGCTGCAGGGCTGCGAGTGGCCATTGCCAGCCTTTCCAAAGGACACTTACCATTGGGGCCGTATTTCTCTATGTGCCGCTTAACTTGGTCCGGGGTGAGGCCTGTGGTCTCGCTCACCCCAAAATAGGCCAGACATTCTTCTGTGCTCTTGGAGTGTGCAGCCTCCATGGTGCTCCCTTCCTGGGGGCCAGGGGGCGGTGTTCCTTCTGGGGGCGTTCCACGTGTGGGGGGCCTTCCTCAGTGTGTTCACCTGCCTGTTTGTCTGGGTTTCTTCCTTTTTGTCTCCTGCCCCCCCCCAGATTTTTCTTCTCTCCAGGAAGCTCTGACCCCCGTCCCACTTGCAGCAGCTGGCCACCCCCCCAGCCCCCAGCTGGTCCTTATGAGGGAGTAGGGGGGGCAGGCTCCCCCCTCCCCCAGATCAGGGATTGGCTGGCAGAGGCTCCGGCAGGAGGGGTCAGAAGAGAGATATTTCTGCTGACAGAGGGGGAACAGTGGGGCTGCAGCCCGAGGTGTCACTCAGAGGGAAGCTGGGGTGGCCCAGCCACAGGAGAGGGGGTAGGGAGGGACTTCACTTCTGTCTCCTGCTGCTGACCCTCCCCCAGTTGCCTCAGCTTCCTCAGTGGCACTGAATCTCCTATTCCGAACTCACCCCTCCAGGTCTTCCCTGAGGCCCACTCCTCCTCTGTCCTTCACCTTTCCCTTCCCTCACCCGCTTCCGTCTCATCCACCCTGACCCTGTGTCTCCTTCCTCACCTCGTTTGCTTAAAGGCCAGCAGAGACACTCCGACCTTAGGGGGACCGAAGAGGGGAAACATCCTTTGGGGGCTAGAGGAAGTGGCTCTGGGGGAACAAGGGAAGCAGGGAGGGGAGAGGGTCAAGGGGACAGAGCAGAAGATGGTAACCCTACCCCAGGGAGGGGTTGCTGCAGCCATCAACAAGGGATTTAGTGTCCAGGGCCTGGTGAGCAAAGCCAGGACTGCCTGTCTCTCCCCTAAACTCCCTCCCACCCCCATCGCCCTAACCAAGCCTCTGGGAACATTGCCTCCAGGCCCCTCCCCATCCCTAATAGTGAATCCCCTCCCAAGAAAATGGGATACCCAGGCAGCAAGGTAACCCAAGAGGCTGCAGAATGTGCTGATGGCAGAGGGGGATAAGTGTTTCGGGATGGGGGTCACCCCAAGTCATGGAATAAGGGTTACCTTATCCCACACTGCTCTCTTTAACCCGAGGGGTTTACCTGGCAGACCCCAGAGAGCTGTGGTCTGCACTCCACCCGGCCCTGAAGTGTCTGTCCTCACAGGGAGGGAGGGCAGCTCTGTGCTCAGGCTTGGGGCTACCCCATTGGAAGAGGCCTGAGAGAAGTGCATCAAGGCAGCAGGACAGGGGCCTGGGGAAGCTGGATAAATAAAGCAGAGGCTCCAGACCAGAGGCGTGGGGAGGGCAGATGGATGGGGACAGGTCTAGGGGAAATAAGGACAGAACAGAGCTGCGGTGGCAGAGACAGAGCTGCCAGGGTCAGAGGGAAGTCTGAGGAGCAGGGGAAAAGGGACAGCAGGGGGCTGGCATGTGGCAGCCAGGTGGGGGGGGGGGGGACAGGGCGGGGTGCAAAGCCACAAGTAGTTGCTGAGCGGCTGGCCTTGGCGTCAGCTTCCTCAGAAGCAGCTGCTCTGAGCCCCCGACCCCCACCCCGCTCGGGAGGAGCCGGAGGGCAGCATGGGTGTGAGTGGGGAAAGGGTGGAGAGAGGCTGAACGGTGCAAGGTCAGGGAGGGAAGCAGCCTCACAACCCTGACCTCCAGTCCTTCCTTGCTTTAGGCCTCACTTTCCTGCAACTGTGAGGACTACAGACTACTGCTGGGTTCTGGCTGCTTCCCTGTCTGGTACTCCGTCCCTGACAATGGGGTGGGGGTCACAATGACATAGGAGGCAGCGAGGCATAGGAAAGGGAAGCCCCACTTTCGGGGAGTGGGTAGGCCAGCAGGAGTGCGTTAGGTCCCCCACACTCATCCCTTCCTCCCCCGCTCCAAGGTGAGTTAAGGACATGGTGCCCTCTCCCCCTGCCCCCCTTTCATGGTCCCAACAAACTCCCTCAAGGCAGAACCCTGCTGTGACCAGGGGACCAGGGCTCAAACAATGGGCTGTGAGTGCTCACCAACAGGCACCTCCACCTGGCCCACCACCACCCACCTTCTTAGGCCAGCCAGGCCCAGCATCTGCCAAGCCTTTGGCACTGGCGGCCTTCTCCCCACCACTACCTGGAGGAGTGACAGGAGCACTGTCTTAAAGGAGCAGGAATGCCCAAACATGGAGAAGGGGGAGAAGACTGGACCGATCACAGCTTCAAGGGAGTTGAGAGCTGAGGAAAGGAGGCAGGCTTTACAGGATGCTGCTGCCAACAGGGCTCTTTAAGGTTAGTCATTTCTAGCTCCCTCCACTTCCCAGAGGGGGGGACTGAAGCCAGAGAGGGCAAGCCACCAGCCAAGAGCCGCAAAGGATCATCATCAGGGTGTGAACAGGGATGGAGGAAGGCTGAGCAATGAGGCGCTGGCTCTCTTGGAGTCCTCCCACTGGGGGTCTCCAAGCCGAGCTGGTTCTCCCTTCCTATGTCGGATGCTTAGAATGGGAGAGGTCCAATTCTGAAGGATGTGGAGATAGAGCCTGGCCACTCCCTGACCAGTTCTGAACTCGAGTGGAACCATCCAGAAAGGCTTACAGGGAAATCGTCTCTTAGGTTCCTCCAGTCAAGACATGCAAATCTTGGAGTATAGGAGGGGTCCATGTACCCCTCCTCACCCATCTTCAGAAGACAAGTCCCAGAGGGCTGCCAGAGTTTAGAGGGAGGGGGAGCCTCGCAGCACCAGTTGCTGCTAGATTAGGAGGGGATCAGGCCCTACACTGCCTACACTGGGGTGCCACAGTCTTTCCTCACCATCTCACTTTTAGAATACATAGCACCTAGATCCCCAAACCATCCTCACCTTTACAAGGCCAAGTTTATCCCCAGTCTCCTAAGGCCAAGGTTTGGGGGAGTCCCAGGGATTAGATAGAACGGGGAGAGCCAGTAGGCTTCCCCCGGCTAGCCCAAAGCTGGGTGGCCTGTGAGCCCAGCTGTCCCCTGTCCATCTCCCGACAGGACACAGGCCCAGAATAGCAAGGTCATAAGCATGGAAAGGGCCAGGAGGTGGGGGCAGAGGCTGAGGGGCGTGAAAGGAAAAGGGAGAGGCAGAATGATAAGAGGCAGTGCTGGATGGAGGCGGGGAGGGGAGAGGGCCAAGCAAAATAGGTGAGAGTCTGCCATGGCTGGTGAGCTAAGTGGTTAGAGTGTTGGCCCTCTCACTGAAAGGTCTCGGGTTCGATTCCCCATCAAGGGCATGTACTTGGGATGCAGGTTCAATTCCCAGCCCCAGCTGGGTCATGTGGGAGAAGCAACCAGTCAATGTCTCTCTCACATCAATGTTTCTCTCTCCCCCTCCCTTCCACTGTCTAAAAATCAATGTGGGATGAGGATTAACAACAAATAGGTGAGTCTTCAGAATCTGGCCCTTCCTTGTTGGCACCCACCACCCGCAGAGCTGGGAAGCCCAGGGGTGCCTTCCACTGGAGGGCACAGCGCAGCCCAGAGAGCAGAGCCTGGGCTAGAGAAGGACTTGGCTGGGAGTGGAGGGACGCAAGGAGGGCGGGAGCTGTTGCAGACTCAATATCCACAGGGCAGGCACATCATGTGAGTGGTCTGCGGGGATGAGATGCGGAAGGTGGACCAACTGCATGGGGCTGGATCACCTGATTTTCAAGAAGAGCCAATCATCTGAACTTTTGTGTGAAATTTCAATGGAAACATTATCCAGGTCAAGCAAGCCATGCCAGTAGCCCCCGCCTGGACGCAACCTCCTGTTTTAGATGAAGACACCGAGGCCTGGAGGGCTACACACTGCCAAGGCCACACAGCAAGCGGCAGGCATCTTCCTCCGCCTCCCAGCGCGGCTCTGAGAGGGGAGCGTCAGCCTGGCCTTGGGCCCCTCTGCAGCCAGACTGTGTGAAGTCTCTCCCAACACAGCCCCACGCCCAGCCCCAGCCCCACGGCCTCTCTGCCAGCTTTCTCCCTGAGGAGGGAGCCGTACTGAAGAATTCAGAGCAGGAAGGGTCCTTGGAGATCGTTGGTCCTGCTGCTCACTGTCCTGTCTCGTTAGGAGAACGTGCCTGGAGACCCCGAGAAGCACTGTTTGGCTCTGCACTTACCGCTCAACACACAGGGCAGTCCCAAGAAACAAAGGACAGAAAGTGCAGGACTAGGGAGCAAAGGGACTTCATCGGACCAGCCCTCTGGCCGCTCAGCTCTGGGGCTCACCACTCAAGTGGGCTGGCTACCTTCCTGACCCCGTCCCAGCCCTCATGGCAAACACTGGCCACAATCACCACGATGAACTGAGATAAACCCTTTTATTTATTTATGCTTCTCCATTTTGTTTAAAACAACAACAACAACCACCTTAATATTAACTGACAGCCCTTCCCCCTCACCCCTCCTTGGGCTGGGGGTAGATAATGGGGAAATGGCGCCCAGGGGCGGGGCTGACCGTAGAGCCCCTTGGAGAGGTAATGGAGCCCAAGTCCCCTCCCCAGGGGACGGGGCACCTGTAGTGTATGAACTGGGGAGTTAACGGGACTCTTGAACCTCTTCTTGTACCAACATACATCCCTTGGCCATCAAGGGTAAGGAAGCATATGGGGAGGGGATTCCTACCGCTCCTCTATGTCCCCGCTCAGCCCCCGTCTCAGGAACTGAGGGCTGAGGAGCAAGAAAGTGGAGAAAGGGTGGGGGTAGGGTGTCACACAAAGGAGTACTGGTTATTAATGGCTCTGGGGTGGCCCCCTTCTTCTCCATCGCCCCCTAGTGGTAACTGCTGGAGCTGCACCATCGGTGTTGCTTCAGGGACCCCACCAGATCCAGGGCCTCCCTGGACCTCCATGCCTGGTGTCATGGCCTCTTCCAATTCAACCATGGGGACCAGCTCAACCACGGGGACCAGCTCTTCCTGGATCCCTCCACTGCCCACTTTCTCTTTCTCTTGCCTCTCTTTGGCTGCTGTGGCTGTTGCTGCTGCCACTTCTGACATCCCCGACGCCTCTTCTGCCCCAGGATGTGGGGGATCTGTCCATGAAGGGGGTTCAGGGGGTGGGGGTGGGTCGTGGGAGGTGTTCGGTTCTGGATAGGAATGGTAAGAAGACAGACTAATTGTGGAGGGTGGCAAGCTCTTGCAGCAGCCTCCCCTTCACTATCCCCCCCAGGAGCCATGTGCTATCTCCCCACATCCCATCTTCTGAGCAACCCCCCCCATCCATGGAAGATGGATCATGGGCGGAGGTGAGAGGAGGACCACACTTACACACAGTCACTCGCTCCGAAGGGCATGAGGGTGGAGGAGGCATCGGGGTAGCATCGATCTCCCTCGCACACCCCTGCATGGCTCCCGGCCTGCTCTCGGCCTGGGGGGGAGGGGCAACGTGGGGACAGATGGGACGTGGGGGTGGGGAAAAGGGAGAGATCAGACAGGGACATCAAACATTAAGGGAAGAGGGAGGGGGATCAAACAGAGCATTCCCCAAAAGGGCAGGCCCAAGGCAAGGTGATGAGGAAGGGCAAAGACAAGGGGCGGTGTATCTAGGAGACAGACAAATGATGGAACAGCGGAGTCTGATGGAATGGGAATGCACCAACCCACTCTCAACTTCCTCCCGGCTCCAGCAGGAGCCCTCTGCCTTCCTACCTCCTCGGCATACATTTTTCCCCTTTGAAACCCCAACACACAGGCCCCTGCTCTCCCTGTTCTCCCCATCAAAGCCTCTCCTCTTCACAGGCCCCCACCCCACCTTTCTGGCGCACACACCTCCTCACTTCTTGGGTGCACGGGCACCTCCTCCCCTGCAGACCTGCTCTGCTCACCCTGCTGCCGCTGGGAGGACACAACATAGCTGCCAAGGACAACATCACTGGGGCCTCCAGACTCCAGAGGGATGGGGTGCACCCGGAAATGCTTGAGCATATCAAAAATGGACTGGAACCACAGGTGCTGGACCCGGCACTGGCCCTCCTCATTCAGCGACAGACGCAGGTGCTGAGGGCGGGATGAGCGAGGTGAAGCAGGAGCCCAAGCCCCTGCCAATTACGGAACACTTCTCCCTGATGGCAACGTCCCCACTCCGCCCGCCAGCTCCCTGCGGAGAACAGGCCTTTTCCTCAGTCACTCACCTTGGCCTTGCCCTGGAAGTTGAAAGTGAGGACATATTCGCCCCGCCTCGTCTCACTCTGACGTACCAGGAAAACACCATGGGAGTCGGTGCCTCCGGCCAGTACTAACTGGGCAGCCTTGAGTCGAGAGAGCATCCCGTGGAACCAAGGATACCCTGAGAGGGGCTGCTCCCCCTCACCTCCCTCTGATTCCCCCTGGAACAGGAATGACCCTTCAGGAAGGAGAGAGGGAGGGAAACCTGGGTGTCAAGGAAGCCTCCCCCATCCTGGGAGAAGAGCCTGGCTTCCCCTTCCTGTGTCACTTCCCTCCCCCTGGGTCAGCTCCCTCAGGATCCCAGGACAAGTTTCAGGTAGGTGGGCAACCATGCCTGCACACAGACACACCTCACACCTCTGGTACCTGTGGCTGTTTCTGGAGTGTCCAGGGATGGGTAGGGGGTTGAGAGGGGATGAACTGTCCCAGCTAGGGGTTCCTCTTCAATGGGGATGCGGGGTGGCAACTCTGGGGGAAGCAGTTCCATTGAGTCAAAATGGGAGGCAGCAATGGAGGCGGAACTAGGAGAGATGGATGCTGAAGGGCGGTCTGAGAGGCCCCCATATGCCCCTGGAAAAAAATAGGAGGGCAAAGTTGAGAACTGGAGAAGCTACTTTTAAAATTATATATATATATAATATATATATATACATATATATATATATATATATATATATATATATATTATTGATTTCTGAGAGGAAGGGAGAGGGAGAGACAGATAGAAACCTCCTATATAAAAGGCTAATTGTAAACTGTCCCTTCAACCCGGAGTTTGACCAGTGGGCGGGGCTGGCTGCCCGGCCCCTCCCCCCCACCAGGCCAATAGGGGCAGCTGGCCAGACCCCACCTGTGCACGAATTCATGCACAGGGTCTCTAGTCAGTGATGAGAATCATTGATTTGCTGCCTCCTGCACACCCCCTACTGGGGATCGAGCCAGCAACCCGGGCATGTGCCCTTGACCGGAATCAAACTTGGGACCCTTCAGCACACAGGCCAACACTCTATCCACTGAGCCACACCAGCTAGCGCTAGAGAAGCTACTCTTTGACAGGAGTGGTCTGCCTGGGCCACCTCCCACTAGTCCGCCCTGTGTGGACTGGCAGGGTCAGGTGGCTGAAATGTTGGATCCTTCTCCAGGCAGGGACCCTGATATTCTTCCACCAATAGCTAACTTAGATTTCATGCACTGCTCAGGGGTTACAGTTACTGAAAGGAGGTCCTAGAATCCAAAAGTGCCTCTGCCTTTTTTGTTGTTGCTGTTAATCCTCACCCGAGGATATCTTTCCATTTATTTTTATTGTTTTTTTTTAATCCTCACCCTAGGATATTTTTTCCATTAATTTCTAGAGTGGAAAGGAGGGAGGGAGATGAGAAGGAAGGAGGAGGGGTGAGGGGGAGAAAAAGAGAAAGAGAGCCAAAACCGGTTTGGCTCAGTGGATGGAGCGTCGGTCTGCGGACTGAAAGGTCCCAGGTTCGATTCCGGTCAAGGGCATGTACCTTGGTTGTGGGCACATCCCCAGCGGGAGTGTGTAGGAGGTAGCTGATCGATATTTCTCTCTCATCGATGTTTCTGGCTCTCTCTCTCTCCTCTCCTCTCTGTAAAAAATCAATAAAATGTATTTTTAAAAAAAGAGAAAGAGAAAGAGAGAGAGAGAGAGAGAGAGAGAGAGAGAGGGAGAGAAACATCGACATGAGACATTGATTGGTTGCCTCCAGCATGTGTCCCCACCGGGGCTGGGGAATCTGCAACCAAGGTACATGCCCTGGACCAGGAATCGAACCCGAGACCCTTCGGTCCCCAGGCCAACCCTCTAACCACTGAGCCAAACAGGCCAGGGCTCCACTGATTTTTAGAAAGTGGAAGGGAAGGAAGGAAAGAGAGAAAGAAACATCGATGTGAGAGACACATCAATTGGCTGCCTCCTGCATGTGTCCTGACCAGGACAGGGGACCAAACCTGCAATTCAGGTATGTGTCCTTAACTGGAAATCAAAACCCTAACCCTCTGGTGTGAGGTCTGATGCTCTGACCACTAAGACACACTAGCCATGGAGCCACTATCTTTTGAACTGACAGCAGAAATGGAGACAAATATGTTTGCATTAAAAAGGGGTCCCTCGCCCCAGCTGGTTTGGCTCAGTAGACAGAGTGTCAGCTTGCAGACTGAAGGGCCTTGGTTCAATTCCAGTCAAGGGCATGTACCTAGATTGCAGGCTGAATCCCTGGCCTTGGTCAGGGCGTGTGTGGGAGGCTACCAATTGATGTATATCTCTCACATCGATGTTTCTCTCTCTCTCTTCTCCTCCCTTCCACTCTCTCTAAAATCAATGGAAAAATAGCCTCAGGTGAGGATTAACAAAACAAAAAAACAAAAATTTTTTAAAAAGGGGGTCTCAACTTGACTGGCCCTTGTGGCTCAGTGGTTGAGCATCAACCCATGAACCAGGAGGTCATGGATAGATTCCCATCAGGGCACATGTCCAGTTGCAGGCTCCAGCCCTGGTAGGGGGCATGCAGGAGGCAGCCAATCAATGAGTCTCTCTCATCATTAATGTTTCTATCTGTTTCTCCTTCTCCCTTCCTCTCTGAAATCAATAAAAACATTTTTCTTTAAATGGGGGTCCTGCCCAGGCCCTGGCAAAATAAAAAAAGGGGGGCGTCCTTTTTTTGGTCAATAGGACAAAGCCAACTCTCAGAGGCATCAAAGATCCTCCTTCTATGCCCTGGCCGGTTTGGCTTAGTGGATAGAGCATCGGCCTGTGGACCAAAGGGTCCCAGGTTCAATTCCAGTCAGGGCGCATGCCTGGGTTGCGGGCTCGGTCCAACGTGCAGGAGGCAGCCAATCAATGATTCCCTCTCACTTTGATGTTTCTGTCTCTCTTCCTCTCTCAAATCAATGAAAATATATATATATTTTTAAATCCTCCTTCTAGCCCTGATTCTCTTCCTCCTCTGGGCTCCCAAGGCACTTTCTTCTTGCTTGTGCTGCTCAGAGAACACTAAGCACAAACTCTCCATTTTAAAGCCCTGCTTTTTAGATGTCTTGTCTGCTCAGCTAGACTGTGAGCCCATGGAGGGCAAGGAGCTAATTTCAGGCATGCCTGCACCCCCACCTTGCCCGAGCCTAGCAAAGAGCCAGGCAGGTACCAGGGCATTCCCGAGTATCTGCCGAGTGGCAGGCGGGAATGTTGCACACGGTCACCGCTCAGATGAGTCCGTGTGCAGGGTGGAGCGCAGGGGCTCAGGCATCACGCTGGCATAGCCCATCTTTGTTAGTGACGCTCAGGTGACACTGGGAAAGCCATTTCTCTTCCCCGGTGTTAGCTGCCTAAGAACAGAGGGGATTAGAACTGACGGCTTATAGGGTCTGTTCTAGCTTTAAGATTCTATCATTCGTTTTACTCATCGAACACAGCCTATAGTTATATGCTAGGCACCGTGACCCTGAAACTCAGAATGGAGGGTCATGAGGAAAGGGTGTAGTGGAGTCTGGAAAGGGAGCTGGGTCAGGCAGATTTACAAGTCTCTGTGTTTATGTGTGTGGGTAAGGGTATGCACGTGCTTAGTCAGGCTAAGAAGTACAATTAAAGAAAATTGGTATCGTTGACACATGCACAAAGACACAGAGTCAGAGCAAAACAAAGATGTGTACAAAGTGTTCTGGAAGCTTGGAGACGAGAACCGTATCTGCAGCCAGAGTGGTGGTCTGCACAGGCTTACGGGAAAGGTGACAAGGCTGGGCAGAGAAGGCAGGCTAGGAGTTTCCTCGGAGCTTGTGTGGGGTGGTGATGCTGATGGTCCTACATGGCAAACTGTGGCTTAGCATGTTCTGGGACTAAAGACAAACATTTGGTGGGTGGGGGTGGGTGGCTGAGAGGCAGGAAAGGGTTTACGCTGGAGAGAGGGCCTGGAGCCCCAAAGCAGGGGGTCTTACATGGCAGGTCTGAGGTTCACAGCTCTCTAAGGCTCTACCTTACCCTGTGACAGGCGGTCGTTGCTCTCGCTGGGTCCCAGCAGTAGATCCTGGCTGGGAAGACTCTCTGAGTGATTCAGGCAGGGCAGTTCCAGGCTGTCTGTGTTCTCTCTTGTAAGAAATGAGGCCCCAGGGGCCAGTGGGAGGGTCATGGGGTGGGGACTGGTAGCAGGGCAGGGCCTGCAGAGACAGGGAAAATGGTGCTGGTAGGAATGTCACCAGGTGAGAGGACAGGCTGCTCCCACCCCAGCCCCTGGTTTCCTCACCCCGGGCTCAGGCATTCTTGGATGTCAGACACCCAGGCCTTCACATGTAGAGCATCAGCTGTCTCCAGGATATACTCTGAGGAGCCTTCCACCTATGGGACAAGAGGAGGTCCATCGGCATTGCCAGTTCCTAGGGCCTAAGGCACCCCTAATGAGAACAAAAACATCCTGCCTCTCCCCCCTGCTCCCAGAAGAGCTGTAGCTTCAGGGACCTACGCTCAAGGAACCCGTCGTGCATGCATCTCCTTCCACCAATGCCCCTTGCTGTTATGTACTGAATGCTTTCTCCCCAACAGGAGTGCTCCACGGGGGCAGGGGAGCTCACGGCTCCCACCTTAACCACAAATGTGTTCTCCCGATCAGGCATCTCCAGCGCTGTGGTCGCCCGCACATCCGTGATGGCAGAGCAGGGAATGCTGAGCCGAGGCCGAGATGCCTAGGTTGGAAGAGAACAAGATCCAGGCCTTTGGTGGGTAAAGACCATCTTTCCCTTCCCTCCAGAGATCCACCTTTCCTTCTACATCCTAAGGGAATTAGGCAAAAAGGAGTAACACTACTCCTTCAGGCCTGCCACAGCTCCTAGCTCAGAGTCAGGAGCTAGCTTTAAAAACCAAAGCCTGGCCAGTCTGGCTCAGTGGCTGAGCATCAACCTGTGAACCAGGAGGTCACGGTTGGATCCGGGTCAGGGCACATGCCTCGTTCGTGGGCTCCATCCCCTGTAGGGGGCATGCAGGAGGCAGCTGATCAATGATTCTCATCATTGATGCTTCTACCTCTCTCTCTCTCTCTCTGAAATCAATAAAAATATAAAAGACAAACAAAAAAACAAAGTAAGCCAAGCTATGCATGTGGGCGATGACCACTTTGGCAGTTCAACCATTCACTCCCAGTCACCCCCTCCTCTGGGTCTCACCTTGGGTGGTACAAAGAACTCCAGGCGACTTCCTCCTCCTCCTTCTCCTTCACTTCGAAGCAGTAAGCGACACTTCTGCCACTGAGGCTGCCCTCCTCCCCCTGAGGTAGGCCCGGCTGCCCCCCCTCCCCGGCCCACTCCAGCTGGGTCAGGGGCTGCCTCTTCCGCCCCCATGAAGCTCAGCAGCTCTTCCCTCTGCACCGCCCCTGCCCCATCCTTCAAGGTCCCTCCTCCCCGGCTGAGTCTCAGCCTCTCAAAACGGTGAGTCCATCTGTCCCCCGGGGATGGTCCGTCACTAACCAGCCCCCTGCCAACGGTCCCAGCCCCACCAGAGGAGTTGGAGTTGCTGTTTCCGCCTAACACTGGGGGGCCTGATGAGGTCTCCAGGGGCCCGGCCGGGGAGGGGGGGTCCACGGTCCCCCGCCACTGCAGGATGCCGCGGACCGAACCTCGGACGGAGCGGCCCACTGAACGGAGGGAGAAGCGTTTCTTTAGCTTCGGCTTCGAGGAGGAGGTTGTAGAAGAGGAAGAGACCGAGGAAGGGAGGGGGCCGGCCAGGTCCTCAGATGATCGAGAAGGGCCCAGCACAGCCAGAGGCCCGCCCGCCCTGCAGCTCTCAAGGGACAGGTCATGTGGCGGGATCTCCACACCGGGACTCAGAGGGGCCGGGACGGGTGGTGAGAGGGAGCCAGAGGCCCGGGCCACTTCAGCTTCAAAATGCTGCAGGAAGAGCTCAGCGAAACGGCGGGAGAAGGCAGCCTCGGCCCCGGGCCCTGCATACTGGGGGTGGGAGGCCAGGTACAGGCGGAAACGGCGGGCAAAATCCAGGGCAGCGGCCCGGGCATGGGACTCACAGAACTCCCGCCAACTGGGGGGAGGGGGTGGTGGCAAGGGAGGAGGAGAGGGGAAGGCCCCGTCCTCCAGGGAAGGGGCACCATTCATGACGGTCCCCAGGAGGTGCAGAGGGGGAGCCTGTGGGGAGGGGCAGCAAAGAGGGAAGCGGCCAGAAGACACGGGGTGAGCGGCAGCAGCTGCAGGAGAAAGAGAGGCACATACACCGAGTCACCGCTGAGGTGGGACTGGGGGCAGAGCCCCACCCGAGCCAGACTCCCTCCTCTGGCCTAGACTCACCAGAGAGCAATGGGGAAGAGCAGCAACTGCTTCCCTACCCTTTCCAAGACCCTCGCACCCCACAAGCCCAGTCAGCCAGCCCCCCACCCCGATGTCTAGCTGCACCCACCCTGCTGCCTTCCAGCCCACTTTCCCAGGCGTTGGTTCCAGGAGCGATAAAGGGCCGTCTAAAAAGTCATCTCCCTTCTCTGCAACAGACCCTCCGATGTGCACCATATGCTTCGCAAGTGCCGTTCTTACCTTTCCCCGTGGGAGCCTTAATAACCTCTATAACAGATGCGGACACGGAAGCTCAGAAAGGTTTCAGGGACTCGCTGGACCAACCTCAGCCACAGCCTCTCACTGCCCCAGCTCTAGGAGGAGCTAGGCCTACAGAGCTCAGAGACCCTGCCTCACGTGTCCCCAAGTCCAGCTCTCAGGGAGGGTGCTCACTGAGGAGGGTGGACGGATGATGGATTGAAACAGCAACTGTCTTGGAAGCTGACCCCAGGGCCCAGCACCCAAGCCCTGTGCGAAGAAGGCCTGCAATGGTCACAGCCCACTTCTTTGCTGCCCCTTCAGTCTGGAGCTCAGAGGCAGCAGCACCAGGTGAGGAAAGGCTAGGAGGTCGGGTCAGGGCGAGTTTTTGCTGGTCACAAACTAAATAAAACATAACAGGGAGCGGGGATCCTCGGCCTTTTCACCTCCCTCTTCTCTCACTGGGGAGTGCGCCCTAAAGGCTGGCTAGCCTGCTGGTTAAGGCCATGGCTTAAGGAGTCAGACTTGGGATGAAATCCAACCTCTGACACCTATTAACTGTGTAATCTTGAACAAATTATATGTCCTCTCTGAGCTTCAGTTTTTGTATCTATCGGGAGAATTAAGTGGAACACAAAGTAAGCACAAAATAAAGGACCACCATTATTGCTATCTTTGCGGGTTCCAATCTTCTAAAAGAGAAATTAGAGAAGGAAGAGATTTCCCGAGGCCTTACAACTGGCAAACGGCAGAGCTGGGCATGGAATTTAGCGCTCCTCCCCGCTATTACACTGGAAAAATGACCGGCACCAGGACTGGGGTGAAGGTAGCTCGAGAAGGTCTCCCCCAAACCCCAGACTCCTATTGAGCCCCACAGGCAGCACCCCCGCCCCTTCCTCGCCGGCCTAGGCCCTGCACACTCAGGTGCTCCAAGCACAGGGACCATCCCCAACCAACGCGAAGCCAGGAGATGCCGGAGTCATGGAGCACAGGGGCCCGAGCCAAGAGGTGCGGACACAGAAGAGAAACCGATCTCCAGGCAGAGGCCACCTCCGCGCACAGGCCCACCCCACCCTCCGCGCCGCGGGCGGACCCAGCGCCCTCGGGCCCGCTGACCCTGCGGCTCCTGGGCCGGGGACTCAGTTTCTCTTCTGTCCAACAGGACTCAGACCCATCTGCCCGGTGCACCTGCCTCTTGGCTCAGGTCTGATAGTCCCCGAAGGGCGGGCGGCGGATGCAGGCTCCGCTCCTGGCTCGGACCTCCGGGCCCGCCGCAGCCCGCCGCCCCGACCCTACTCCCCGGACACCCTCTACCCACCCATTCCCCGGGGCCGCCGTCTCCGGGGGGCCACCCCGCCTCCTGCGCTCTCCGCGCCGAGCGCCCCCCTGCCTCGGGGGCCCCCACGCCCGCTCCCACCCGGGGCTTCTCGGAGGCGCCAGCCGGGTCGCGGAGAGGAAAGGAGGACTGGGAGAGGGGGGTTCCGGTTCCGGTCCCACCTGCATCTCGGTCCCCGCGGTTAGCTCCGGCGGCGGCGGCAGCTCCCGCTCCCTGCCCCTCCCCCCACCCCGCGGCGGCCTCCCAGCCGGCTCTGCGCAGGCTCCGGGACCCCTCTCCCGTCACCGGAGGCAGCGACCATAGAGAGGAGCGGGCGGGAAGGGCACCTTCACGCTCACTTCCGCCGTCCTCCCGCCCCGCGCTCCCGGCGGCCTCGGGGACGGAGCGGCCGAAGGGGGGCTGCGTCCCCAGCGGGAGTCCGGGGCCGGGGAGGGGAGTCGGCCTCAGAGAAGCCACTGGAGAGGGTGGCGTCGCGAGGCCGCCGACGGCCAGAGTGGTCGCCGGGCCCGGCAGCAGCGAGCTGGGAAGGCGTTTTGACGGGCGCGGCAGCCTAGAGCGCCCGGCCCGGCGGCGGCGACGGCGGGGATGCCGCCCCGAGGAGCTGGTCCCGGGAAGACCCCGCGAGGAGGCGGAGCCTGGACCGGCGGCCTTGGCTCCTCGAGGAAACGGCGAGAGGTTGGACGAGGCTCCCTCTCCGACCTGGGGATAAAGGCAGGGGCGGGGAGAGAGCCAGGAATAACGCCCGTTTGGGCCGTGTCGGTGGACTTGGGAGGCGGCGGACGTTCAGTCCGGGGCTCAGGCGAGCCATCGAGGCCGGAGACAGAACCTGAGGAGCGTGAGGGTGCAGAGGATGCTCACACCGAGCGCAGAGACCTGTCAGTCCGGTTCCTCTGACCGCCCGACTCCCCGCGCAGTAAGGGAACTGCTTGCTGGAGCGGCTGAAAACCCCGGAGTGGGCTCCGCTTCCTCAGGACGACCCACCGGAGTCAGAGGCCGAGAGGTGCCGGGAGCCCGTGCCCACCTCCTCCCGGCTCCCGGCTCTCCCCGGCCCCAAACGCTGCGTCCTCGCAGCTCAGCGCCTCCAGCAGGAGCATGCCTCTCCCCTGAGGTGCGCCGTTTCCAGAACTGACGTTAGCTTTTCGGTCTGGGTTCAGTGCTCATCCTGGAACACGGAGGCAAGGACCCAGGAGCGTGGCGATGGGGAAAAGCCTGATCTCACACACGCACGTTGGTGCAAGGCCGAGGCTGCCTGGCGCCGTTGGGAACATCCACTGTGGCCTGGCCAGCCTTGGTGCCCCCGGCCTGCGCTCTCACCGGACATCAGCGCACACATAGCCTTTGTTAATGCCTCCGTCCATCTTCGTCCACCCATCTTCCCGGTTCAGAGAAAGATATCGATGGAAAAGAGTTTAGTTCTGTGGTCGCCTTCTTCCTCCCTGGTACTGGACACTCACCTTCTCTGTAGTTGGCCCGTCACTGTCTAGGACAGGGATCGTGGGGGAATGTAAGGAAAGCAAGGGGCTGGTGATGAGGTTAAGTTTGGAAATGTGTCCACGCTGTCCAGTAAAACGTTCTGCAATGAGAGAAATGTCCTATGTTGGCACTGTCCAATGTGGTAACCACCAGCTGCATGTGGCTAGTGTGACTAAGTGTTGTAGGCCCTGGGAATGGCACCAGGTGTCAGACCAGTGGGGTTAGAGTTAGACCAAACCTGGGTTCAGCAACCTTGGTCCTTGGGTTCTGGCTAGGTAAGAATTCAGAGCCAAGATAACATTTATTTGGCAAATCAAGTACGTGTGAAAGAAGTAATTACTAGAAATGGGCTTAGGAAACAAGTCACGAAGGTAAAGGGAGGGCCCTTGGAGCTTGGGAGTGAGGAAGCCAATAGGGGTGAAAGGGGGTGGGGTTGGGGAGGGGGGAGGCAGGGCTAGCAGAGCCCACTGGGTCCCCTTCCTGAGGGTTTTAAGGGTGGAGATTTTAAGGGAAGTCCCAGGAGAAGATCTCAATAGAATAATCAGCTGCTTTCCAGGTGTGTCCTTTCAGGGTTGTGGTTTCCACTGATTGACTGGCGGGCACCAGGAAAGGGGGGGGGAGGGGGGTGTCATTATTCAGCGCAACAGGTCCTGACATCAGCCTGGCTGGTTTTGTTGTTTCTCTGGGCCTGGAGCTGACACATAACTCAGGCATAGATATTACCTCTAGAGAGGAAAGGTTAGGGGTCCAAACCCCATGGCGAGAGATATGCTAGGGGAGGAAAGGTCACCGGGGGAGCAGGGTCCCACCCTTTAATGGATTGTCTGTTGTTAGGCACCTGGGGCTTTACACCCTGGTGACCTGCACCTGGTCCATTGCCCTTGCTCTGCTCATGTCTGTTTAACGGCCTGTCACAAAGAGCATGTGGCTAGTGACTACTGTATCCGTCCAGGAGGTGTCTGGCCAACCAAGTGGAGCTCTTCAGCAGAGATGATCAATGGTCTGACTGCACAAAGCAGTTTAGTGGGGATCAGACATGATAGTGGTTGAAACCATGGATATGAATGACATTGTCCAGGTAATATATGTAGAAAGAGGAGTAAAAAAAATTGCAGAGATGATGTCTTCTTCCCAGAAGCAGACCCTGAGATGAGGATTTGTGTGCAAGTTATTTATTTAAAATGTGCTACAAGAAGAAACCAGTAAGGGAGCGGGGAAAGCAAGAGAGAAAACCAAGCAAGCATGTGATCTCAGGCAGCTTTACCATGGGGGAGCTCTGGATGTTAAGTTATGCCTCAGATTTGTCAGGAAATGAGGGAACTGGGCCTTACATATACCAACATCCCTTAGCTGTTGACCAAGGGTTGCCCCAGGAGATGTCAATTCCAAGGCCAAGCCTCCAACATTCCTCAAACAAAAAACAAAAACAGAAAAGAAAGAAAAACCACCTGGAAGTTCTATTAGAAACCACACACCAAAGACCAGGGGGTGTGGGAGTATAGAGTGTATATGGGGGGGGGGGGGAGGGATGGGCAAAAACAAATGATAAACAGAGATCCATAATACTGCTATTGTTTCTATAATGACTACCATTGCTCAGTGACCTTGGGGAGAATAATTTTAGGGACATGGTGGAAGCAGAAGCCAAATGGTAGAGGATTGAAGAACAAATGGAAGGTGAATAAGTGGGAGGAGGGATGTGGAGAACTATCTCACAGTGTGACCAAAAGGAAGGAAAGAGATATGGCGGGCTGTAGTTTGAAAGGGAAGAAAAGATTTGCCTGTGTATATCCCGAGGAAGACCTACTTATATCAAAAGTCTAAGGAGAAAGGAGCCAGTAGAAAGGATGGTAATTGAAGGAATGAGTTTGGGGAAGGTGGGAAGGATGGGATCCAGGGCCCAGGTTAAGCCAAGATACTGATAAGGAAGTGAGAAACATGGCTTCCTCAGTAAGAGGGCATTTACTTCTCAGGATGCTTTCAGCTACAGTGGAAACTCCAATTTAAGGTTGATTGAACATAAAAAGAGGGGGAGTTTGTTGGTTCACAAATTTGAAAAATCAAAGATAGAATGACTTCAGGCATGCTTAGAGCCAAAAGCTCAATGTCCATTTGAACTTGGTCTCTTTCTCTTAGTTCTGCTTTTTTTCTGGACTATCTTCATTCTCAGGCAGGTTGCACCCTCAGAGATAGCAATATGGCTGCCTGCAGCTGCAAGCTTACCGGAGTAACAACCCTAGCAGAAAAAGATCCTGGCTTTCCCAACAGCTCCAACAAACGCAGTTGGGTTGAATTTCATCAGCTCAGCTTGGGTCACCCAATAAACATCTGTTGTATAATAAAGAATTTGTCTGATCTTTGTCCCATGTTCCTGGCACAGAGGATTAAAAGTACTTGGTAATTCCAGAGTGATAGAAGTGTCTGTTATTCATGAGCCCCTTAGGTGACTCACGGCAGGCCCCTAAATATCTTCAGGATGGGGGCTGGTCACCACAAAGACCAACGTTGTGATAAGAGGGTTGGGATTTTGAGCCAGCTCAGCATCCAAGAGGGCAGGGAGGGGGCCTGGAGATTGTGTTCAGTCACATGGTAACGATTTAATCAATCATGCCTAAATAATGAAGCCCCAATAACTACTCTGGACAGTGAAGCCCAACCAGTTCTTCCTGGTTGGTGAATGCATTGATGTTCCAGGAGGAGGATATGTTGATTCCATGGGGTGAGTGGATGGATGCTTTGTATTTGGACCCTCCTAGACCTCAACCTATGTGTCTCTTCATCTGGCTGTTCCTGACTTGTATCCTTGATTATGAAACTGTAAGCATGAACCATAGTGCTTTCCTGCATTCTGAGTTGTCCTTGCAAATTATCAAACAGGGAGTGGGGGTCATGGGAAACGCCCACATCTGTAGCCAGTTGGTCAGAAGTGCAAGTGGCTGGGGGACTCCACTTGCAGCTGGCATTTGAGGTGGGGGCAGTCTTGTCAAGGACTGAGCCCTTAACTCGTGTCTATGCTAACTTTGGGCAGTTAGTGCCAGAACTGAACTTGGTTAGTACGCCAGTTGGGGTAGAAACAATACTAACCCTGAACCAATACTTGCAACCAGGAGGGATAGAGTATGCTAATTTGTAAACTGGATCGTGGACCCATCTGAGATTGGAGTGGGCTGAGCATGGCAGAAGGTGGTGCTTTAAAGGAAAAACAGGGTCCGACTGAAGGGAAGTGGTTGCTTGTGGGATTCTTCTGGAGGTCATCCTGACCCTCCCTCACCCCAAGAGAAGGGGCTTTCTGGTATTTTGTCTTCTTTCCTGGATGTCACAATCAGCCTTGGTGCTTTGGCCTAGACCTCCTGGCCCTCCAGGTCATACTCGGTTCTGTCAGGGCAGTTTGACAGCCCAAAGAACTCCGGCTTTACTTCGGCTCTGCCTCTGAACGACACACACCATCTCCCTCACTGCTGTCCATCTTCTTCCCTCTGGTTTCAGGCTTCAAAGCGTGTT